ACACACACGCACCATACACACACACGTGTTACACACACACACACACACACACACACACACACAGACACAGACACAGACACATACAGACAGACACATACAGACAGACATACACACATGCACACGCGTGCGCACATGCGTACAGTGTGTTACCTGCTGAGTTATGTTGGCGCCCAGAATGAAGATCTTGTTGTCTGCGTCCAGTTGGCACAAGAGGTGGAGCATCATGTTGTTGTACGACAGATGCGTCGCGTCCGTGAACAGGACCTTTGGAGACTTGGCCGACAAACCATTCAGCTTTAGGCAGAACAGAAGCTCGCTAAATGCACCGTCTTTGGTCATCAGGTGCGCTGCATGATGTCCATTTGCATTGATCCACTCTGCACGACCATCAGCGCAGTGGTATGCATACTTGAGTGTGTTGAAGCAACAACGGCAAAACATACACGTGCATGCATGTAAACACACGCACGCACGCACGCACATGCGTGTACATACAAACGCGCGCACGTGTACGTACACACAGACGCAAACACATACATACTTGTGTACACACACACGTGTACATACACGTGTACACACACGTGTACACACGCACACACACATACACACACACAGAGACACAGACACAGACACAGACACAGACACAGACAGGCACAGACAGGCATACACACACACACACACACACACAAGTTCGCAACCAAACTCACGAACGAACGAGTGCAGTCTGTCAAACTCCTCCTGCCGCTTGACGTGAGTTCTGCCTTGAGCTTGTGCTGCGTACTCTGCCATCTGGGAACCCGACATGGTTAGGCCGTAGCGGGCACTGACTTGTTGTACCTGAGCAGCGGGGTTTCCTGCAAGAAGACATGTCGCGCAGTGTAGAGAGAGGGAGGGGCAACAGTGAGATACCGAGGGCAACTGACGCGAGTTGTCCACATGACAAACGCACACGCATAGGTGATCACTTGGTTGCAGCGAGGAGTACCTATCATGGTTCGATCAAAGCGGGCGAGCGTCTGTGGACGAACACGGCGGCGCCCAAGCTCATGTTCACTGTCCTGTGCGAGCCAGCAAGCCTCGGTAATCTCCCACGCGCCGCTGACGGTTTGTTTGTTGGCGTGAATTGCATAGGCGCAGGTGCTTGGGTGTTTCCTCTGTTGTTGCTGCTTTGTCCAGGCTTTGTTGTCGCATCTCACGCGGTATGTCCTCGAATCCGTTGCCTTCACCTGGACAAGTGGCACGTTAACACATTCCGCGAGACACCACAGGGTGAACAGGACGCTGTTTCTTCGCATGCCCATGCGAAATCAAACGCACGCTCGAGCGTGCCAATCACCACACATGAACCACACAACCGCCACGCCACAAAGCGCCACGCGAAGCACACACAACACACGACAACCCGGCATGAGACACAGCACGCTGCCACAATGCCACGCGAAGCACACACGGCAACACGGCATGAAACACAACACGCTGCAACAACAACAACATAACACTCACTCACAATGTGATTAACGCCGAAGCGAACAGCAATCTCCGAGACAGCCTCCTGCACCTGCTCCTTGGAGATGAAGCGGGTACCCTTGGCAAGCTTGGCGTAAGCAGCCCGCAACGCAGCGTTGTTACTTGCTTCAACAACATCCATGGCTTGCACTGCCACTGTCACTGCCACTGTATGCGATCACACTGTCCTTCTTGCTTGGTTGGTTTTGCACGATGCGCCATATCCTGTGTGGCAAATTGCAAATTGCACCTGCAATGTGGAAAGCCCTGCAAAGCGGAAAGCGTTTGCCGTGGAACCCACCCAACCCGTTTGCGTGTGCCTCCGAGGCTGCGTGGAGTTGCGTTAGAAGCGCATGGGCACAGCTTAACGCAATCTGAACTCACGCGTGGCGCGAAGTCAAAGCCCTTTTGTCCATGCGGCAGATTCCATTTTCAAAAGTGTACTTTTCGAGCTGTCCCCACACACACACACACACACACACACACACACCACACACACACACACACACACACACACACACACACACACACACACAACACACTTCACCAATTGCACCCTTCCGAAGTGCAATTGGCAACCACATCCCATGTTGCTGAGTCAGCGATCTTTCCAATCAGTTGCGGAAAGCCAAAAACCAAAAAAAAAAAATAGTGAAGCTGCCACAAAAGCAAGAAAGGCAAACACCTTCCTTCTTCCTTCTTCCTTGCTTCTTGCAGTGTCCACTGACCACACACACACACACACACACAAACCACTATCGCCACTGCCAGACAAGCCGCATCTTCGTCACGCATCCACGCACACACAGCCAGCCAAGCAAAGCAAGCAAGCACGCGACCACAGAGATGGCCGACACCGCGTCCACGCCGGGCTCCCCCCAGTTCCGCCGCCGCGTCAAGGAGCGCGAGCAGCTCGATGAGCTCAACAACGAGCTCGGTGCGTGCGCTGCGCGGTGTACGTGGTGTTGTTGCGATGTGTTGTGTGTCGACGTGTTGTGCGGACATGTTTGTGCACGATCTTGTTTGTGTTTTGCGGTCGGACAGGAACAGGGATGTTGCTGGTGTTTGACTGCGTCTCGCTGTGAACGTGTTTCGACAACAGTCATGCCCAACTCACAACAAACACATTGGCTCTTGCTTCCCTTCTTTGTTGCTTGCTTGGCTTCGCTCGACAGCTGCGTACCTCGTGCGTGTGCGCGAGCTGCAGAAGGAGAATGGCGAGCTGACCTCGCAGCTCGAGGTGCGTGCGTGTAGGTTGTTGTTTCGAGAGTGGACGTGAGCTGTGCACGTCCTTTTGGATTGCTGCCCATGCTTGCTGTCGAGCAGTTGACAACAGCGCTAACATGAGACACATGCAATGTCCTCGACCCGGAACAGGCGATTCGCTTCTCTCGCAAGCGCTTTGAGTCGACGGCCACCATCAAGCTGGAGGGCCAGGTCAACGACCTCCTGGAGGAAATCCGCCGCAAAACCACCGAGGTGAGATGTGCGTGTGTGTGTGTGTGTGTGTGTGTGTGTGTGTGTGTGTGTGTGTGTGTGTGTGTGTGTGTGTGTGTGTGCGTGTGTGTGTGTGTGATGCGCATAAGTGGCACGTGAGCATGGCCCTGGTCTGTTTGTTTATTCACTTGAGCCGACATCAATATGGCATCTCACGTGCCTGCTTGCCTGTTTATCTTTCTGTTTGTTTGGTGGTGATGTTGTCGGCTGTAGATTGGCACCCTGAACCACCAGGTGCAGGATCTCCGCAAGCAGCTGAACAAGACGGAGGGCGATGCTCTGGAGGCAACCCGCGAGAAGGACGACCTCGCAAAGCAGCTCAACGTCAGTTGTGTTTTTGGTGTTTTGTTGTACGTGTGCTGTGTGTGTGTGTGTGTGTGTGTGTGTGTGTGTGTGTGTGTGTGAGTGAGTCTCTCTCTGTGTATGTGTGTGTGTTTCTTTCTTCATGCTTGTGTGCAAACAATGTGCGGTCCTTGTCGCTGGATCAAGATTCACCCACGTATGCGTCAACCTCCCCTCCCTCCCCTCCCCCCCCCAAACACACACACTCATGCACGCACACACAACCCACAGGAAGCGCTGTCGAAGGTGCAGGAGCTTGAAGGCCAGGTCTCTGGTCTGCAGCGGGATGTGTCGCAGCGGGACACGACCGTGACCAACCTCCAGCGCCGCGTGGCCTCCCTCGAGGCAGACCTCGGCCGCCAAGTCGTAAGTCTCTCTTGTTATTGCTGACACACACACACGCACGCACGCACGCACCTTTTGTTTTGGCCGTGCTCGCTCGGTTGCTCCTGCCACACGTGCTGTCTGCTGCCACTGCGCCAATTGCATGTACGCATGTAGAAAGTCCTTCCGCCACAAACAACAATCTCCATTTTCACCACCACCACCACCACCACCACCACCGCTGCAGGACGACACGAAGCGGGAGCGGCTTGCGCGGCTGGAGGCGGAGTCGCGTGCCCAGGGCCTTGAGGACAAGCTGTCGAGCCAGGACGACATGTACCAGCAGCAGGTGACGGCGCTTGAGGAGCAGATTAAGATTGGCGGCACGTCTGGCGGGCTGAGCGAGGAGGACCTCGAGGCAGCCCTCACCGAGGCAAAGGAGCACTACAAGCAGGCCGTCAACAACTTCCGCACACAGATGCGCTCATACTTTGCACAGCAGCGTACGTGTTGGAAGCGAGGTGTTGTGTTGCTTTTGTTCTGGGCGTGGGCTGTGTCGTGCGCTCATGGCGTGGTGTTTGTGTTTGCTCTTGATTGCTGTCGCTTTGCTTGGTCGTCAATTCGGTCATCTATCTTGTGTCCTCACACCCACCACAACAAACACCAATCACTGCTGTTTTGCACGTGTGTGTGTGTGTGTGTGTGCAGCGATTATTGAGCCCGACACGCGCGGGCTCGAGGAGCGAGCGCGTCTGCAGACGGAGGTGATTGAGTGGCGCTCAAAGTACGAGGACGTCAAGGCCCAGGGCGCAACCGCACAGACCGAGGTCAGCCCATGCTACGACTGCTGCCGTTGTTTGTTTGTTGTTCGTTGTTGGTTGTTTGTTGTCGTTTGCTGTTCGTTGTTGTTTGGGGATGTGCTTGCCGTTGCTATCGTTTGGATGTTGCTGTTGCTGTTGTTGTTTCTGGTAGGTAAAGTGGCAAATGCTTTGCCCCTTGTCACAATGACGTCGCCTGCTCTCACCGTTGCTTTGTCGGGTGTGTTGTCCATGGTTAGATTGAGGGTCTGAAGAGCAAGCTCGCTGGCCTGGAGGACGTGTTTGCCCAGATTAAGAAGTCCCACACCGACGAAATCCGCCACAAGGGTATGCCACTGTGATTTTGTCATTGTAACTGTGTGTGTGTGTGTGTGTGTGTGTGTGTGTGTGTGTGTGTGTGTGTGTGTGTGTGTGTGTCAACACCAATTCGATGATTTACATCCTGAGTCTCCCTTCCTCCTCCTTCTCCCTTCCTCACGTGTGCACGCGTCCATTGGCGTTTGGTGTCATTGT